TTGTCACAGGACAAGTGGTGTCACTCTGAGATATTTTCATGCTCCTAACACCACAGAGATGTACACAGGGGGCACTGAGACTTTGCGATGAACGCTGACATATTTCTTATTATGTCTTGGTTTCTGGGAACAATTTGAAACTGAAGATGAAGGCACCAATGAGGTCCTGAAAGGTGAAGGCCTAAGATGGGCTTTTGGATGTTATTGATCTAAGGGGATCAATTTATAAACACCTACATTATCTCAGTGTCTTACACTGAGCCAACTAAATTGAAAATTGCCCCTGGTGTCCCATTTGAGCCTCTGTTTGCACCTTATTTTCTGAAATTGGGCTTTCAATTATCTTTTTTTTTATTTTTTTTATTTCAAAGCAGAATTCCCTGTTGACTCTTGTCGTGTTATGATTTTGACAAAATATCTCCCAGTATTCTTTTTTTCCTCCTTGTTAGACAAGTCAGCAGACTCATGCTCCCATCATGCCCCAGGCAAAGACAGGTTCTTCCACCACCACAAAAAGAAAAAAAACACAAAAGAACCTGACACTTGTCTGTTTGTTCCAAATGTATTCCCTAACAACGCCAGCCCTTTCCATTACATTAAACTCGGCTGAAAAACAAGATTTAGCCAAACAAAACAGTTTTTAGTGAGCGAGGTGATGCAAATGAACCAATTCTGGGCAACAGTGCTTAAAGTCAAAAGGTCCCTGGGGGCAAAGTAGATTACTTTAGAAAAGGCTCCCAAAGCAAATAGCCAGAGAGAAGATTCAACTTGAAATATTATGTGAGCTGGAATACACAGCATCTGTAGCTTCAACTGTAATCTCTGCATGACCGTGCAATTCTTGCGTGCTGCAGAAAGTGATGATGCAAACATCTTGGCTCACAACGTTCCCATCTCATCTATTTAAACATCATGTGACATGACCTCATCAGATGAGAGGACACCCTCCGGATCAGCTCTGAGACTTTAAATGACATGTTTATAATTTCTGCAGCAGCATGCGCGATGTCCCGGACTTTCAGGCAAGACTAACAAAGGTGGATGACACAAGGCTTCCTAATACTCATCCAACAGATGAGATGCAGTGGTGTAAAATGTTGCTTATGAATAAAACAATTTCAGGTTTCTACTAAGACAAGAAGGGTAATCTCTTTTATAGCCTAAATCTAGTATATGAGTCAGCAGCAGAAACTTCAAGACAATGACCAATATGTAACCTTTTTTATGTAAAAACTTCCTCAATTAAAATCCCTCTAAGGTATCTGAAAGACCTTGTCTTGTCATATCTGTTAACAGCTACAGTATCAGTCTGACAAATTTCACAAGAATTAATTGATGGTAAAATGAATGTGAACCTGTGGGCTCATAGAACTGTTCTAGGCTTCGAACCAGACAGAGCTTTGACCAGAACATATGTTTTCCTACAGCCTTTAAACTCACAGTTTAGCAGCTACAGAATGTAATGGATGACATCAAGATAAGAGTCTTGGCACTCTTCAGTGTTTAGCCCAGACCGAGCCTTTTCCATGGAAACATATCTAGACTGAACTGTCCAAGATAATGAGAATAACATATGTCAATTCTTTTTAAGGTGGATTTTTTATGCTTTAATATGTGAACACAAGAGGTCAAGAACACAGACTCGTAGATGGAAGGGACTGTAAATAATGAATCCTACATTATTAGAACTCTTTTTTATTTATTTATTTGCTGTTTATGGTGAATAACAAGTCTGAGTAATCTGAGCAGCAATTACATGTTTCTCCAGCACAATGAAATTGTGATTCTGTGCAGTGTTGGCTTTAAAAGGGAATTAATGCAGAACACACACTGGAAAAACATCAGACTACTTAGCAATTAAAGTTTGTACCATTTATTTTATTCACAAACCAAAATATCCAAGGCTCTCATTTATGCTGAAAGCATTCACTTTGAAAAGCTATTGCATTCATTAAAGAAATAAATGTAGAGGCGAAGCAAAACTCAGCAAAAGTCTAAGAGTCTACATCCATGCCAGCTTCGAGTGCTTTGACGTTTTGAACTAAATGCTAACACAAGCATGCAAACATGTTCACAATGTCTATGCTAACATGGTGATGTGAAGAAGGGTATAATGTTTACCATTTTCACATATTAGTTTAGCATGTTAATATGCTAATATTTGCTTATTAGCACTAAACACAAAGTACAGCTGAGGCTGATGGGAATGTCATTAGTTTTGCAGGTATTTAGTCATGAACCAAAGTATTGGACAAATTTTAATTTTTGACCTGATGATGGAACTTGAAAAAAGGTTAGGGGAGCATCAAAGCCATTAGAATTCATCTTGAGGGGGACATGAATTTCTGTACTAAATGTCATGGCAGTCCAATAGTTGTTTAGACATTTCGCACAAAAACTCTTGGTGGCAATAAAGGATAAGTCAGGGGTTCACCAAAGTCATTAGGACTATTATCTGGGGACCATGAATGTATGTATAAAATTAGTTACCAATCCATCAAGCAGAGAGATTTCAGTCGGGGCCAAAGTGGTAGACCGACCGACAGACCAGTGTTGCCATCCTTTTAGCCACACTACTAGCCTGGCTAAAAACCTGCAAGGTCTCATTACTTTGTGTCATCTTAGCAGCGGGTACTTTAGCCTCCAGCCACCATGAAACGTACCCTGACAATTACCTTTTCACAGTTTGTGGCAGTAGTTTGAGAAAGAGAATAAAAAGCAATTGATCTAGACAAGGTCAAAACACTGGTCTGAAGGGAAAAGAGCAAGTTTTCATCAAAGGACATTTCAAGGCTTACCTGAAACCAGCTTATCAGCACATCTGCTGTCAGGGCTGACACGATCTATAGCACTCAGTTCACCGCAGGCGAGAGGGGTAAAAGTCAGAAACACTTTCCTAGAGAGAGATCTCCATGACATTAACACTGACTTTAACCGGCTGAGAACTTGAGGAGTGAGGAGAGCGGAGCACTGCTTCCTTGAAACTGAACTAAGCACTTTGTTTAACCAGGAAGCTGCTGTGTTGAATGGCAACAGGTGCACCTTTGCCCCCTCTGTATTGTGCTGCTTCTTTTATGTTTTTACTTCCTGCAATTTAATTGTTTGTGAGCAACACAATCTATAAATGTCATCCTCAGGTCTCCTCCCACATTTTCTTCAGTCACATCAGGGCCGTCATCCATGCCGTCCTCCCAAGGGATCTGAGGAATTCCACGTCACTGGGTGGAGCCATGGTTGGTGCGTCTTTACTTCCCATACACACTGTCAACACAATAGGCCAGATCCTGCTGGAATACGGGCTATATAGGGAACATCATAAGCTGCAGAAAAAGGCAAGAGAATATGCTTATGCAAAAAAAAAAAAAAAAAGACGAAAATCTTCCACGTCTAGACCCCATCTTAAAGTAAGTCTCGATTTGCTGCGTGCTTCAAAAGCTTGCTTGGAAGTTACTGCTGTCAGACACACCGGTTTAAGTGTTGGATTGGGACCCATCTTCGACAAGAACAGGGTGTTCTTGCAGAGCTCAGTTCATTGTTCCCACTGTGATGCTGCACACCTCACATTATCACACAACTGACTAGAAGTTAGATACAAGCTCAAATGTAGCGTCAACTATTAATGATACAATACTTTAAAGCTGATTATTGATCGAGTCTACTGTAAAACCAAGTTATTAGATAATATATGAACATCTAATCTCACACTATCTATTGTCCAACCTGTTTAAACTGCCACCTGTACTCCCAGTCATCATCATCATCATCTTTAGCATCTTTCTAAAACCTTTTTTTATTTAACCCATACTGCATGTGCCACCATTCTACATGAAACCACAGTGGACATCAGGGGGTGTGAGCAACTCCCCAGTTATCACAGCCACTAACACCTCCGTATCCCAGCCGCTCAGCAGGTGACAGGAAAAAAATGTGCCATGTCCACTGCAGGGGGATGGGCAAAAGCCTGCAAATAGACAGATTGTCTGCAGGCGTTCTCTGATCTAATCTCCTCCTCAATCTGGCACTTGGTTTCTGCTGCGATGCCAGGTAAACATGTCAGATTTGGGCGAAGAAACCTTTGGAAAAGTTTGGAACGCAGTGAGGATACAGGGGAAAGCTGGAGAGTACACATTGTTGTACACTGCCCTCTGATGGGGAAACATAACCAGTGCACATGATGCATCTACAGTGTAAGAGCAGTGTGAATTTGGATATGCATTTTACAGTAGTTGACTAAACAAGATTTTCTGGGACAGCAGTCAAACTCTGCTACTGTCACAAGGGAGTCCAGCTCCGTTCCCACCACAGAGCCAGCCCTCCTCAGCAGTCTATCTAGCTGCGCAGAATTGCTCTTTTTGCTGCCGCCTCCTCAGCACACAACAGAACACTGGTGACAACAGACCGGTAAAACATCAGCAGCAGTTTCTGGCTGAGCCCTGGGCTGGCTGCCGGGGGGGAAATAGTAATAAGGTTTTACAAGCAGTGGAAATATCTAGAAAATAGGGGTGCACAATTAATTGAAATCTAATCAAAATTGTAATATGGCCAAGTGCAATATCAAAAAAAAAGCTGCAAAGAAAAAAATCACAGGAGCTATAATTCTTCTGATAAAGGTAAAATGTGTCAACATTATTGTGCATTGTTAGTGCCGTAAGCATTGTGGTGCTACAGAGATTGTTTGGTACAAGCCCCAACAAAAATCATATCAAAATTTTTTCAGTTTAAATGAAATGCAAAAACAATCATTCCAACTGAAATTGTGACTCAAATAGCAATATCTGGCAAAATAATTGCAATATGACTTTTTTGCATATTGTGCAGCCCTAGTAGAAAATCGTTTTTTTCAAAAGGATTCATTAGTTGTATTGAACTGAAATGTAATTGGCTTTTTAGCTCCTTAGAGTGGGATTAAATTAAATTAATTAAATTACTTTTTAACACGCCTTGATCTGGTTGACATTACATTCTGCCTTGTGGCAAATCAAGGGCAGATTACACTCAGGTTAAATAAAAATTACTTTATTTTTTAAAATAAATGCATTTTTTACAGTCAGAGAGCAGAGCAGCAGGACATGCACTGCTGCTCCTGACACTGGAGGCAAATAAAAACAACATCAGAGAAAAACAAAACAGACAAGACTTGATTTTCTCTTACCTCTGTTAATTTTTGCTGATTTGTCTCAAACTCCAGGGTCTAAACAATGTGGGTCTCCTTCATATGGACATTATTAAATGGCACACTTTGCTCGTGACAAAACCAGACAATTAAGTGAAGTATTTTAAAAAGGCGCTGAGCAAATTAAATTTGCAGCAAAAATTGCTCATAAAGTATCAATGTCAGTCTAAAGAATGAGCTAAAAATGCATCTCAAGGCCACAGATGGTCAGCCACAAGTGGTAGAAGAGAAAGCAGAAAATCAATAAAATTAAGCAGTAATGCAAGAAAAAAAGAACACATTTAAAAAGGCATACGTATCTGTATTTTAGAAAAAAAAATTATAATATGTACTCGACAAACATCTTAATCAAACCTGGAGTTTGAGACTAGTGTTATCTTCATATATATTCATATATATCTTCATCTGAAAATTCAGTAAGACCACAACATAAGCAGGCACAATTCTGAATACTACACATGTTGACAGATGGCTTCCCCCCTTTTTTTTCTGAACGGAAAAACTTCCACACCCCCAAAAAAGCAGAAAAAAACTGTACAATTCTATAAAACGTTTGTGTTTTTACATTAGTTACAAAAAAATAATACTTTATTTACTGATCCTTCATACTGAGGACAGAAGAAAAAAAAACGTTTGCATATTCATTCTTCAAACTCAGTGACCTTTTGCTGGTGTGTAATGATAAAAATGATAATAATAACAATATTAATACTATACGGTGTGAGAAACAGAATGGCAATAAAGTAAAAGTTGGTACAAGGAAGTAATGATCCCTTGTATTATGTAGTGTACATGCACTAAGCAATGAGATGTCAGGGGTTTCAAATCTGGATGCAATTCAAAGCTTGCCATTGTGATTTTGCTACTCATCACTGTGGTCAGAACAGCAGCCAAAAACCAGACACATTTAGCAAAATGTTAATGTACTTTGGCACATAACTTCTGAATGTGCACTTCCAGGTCAGAAGATGAAAAAACCTAAACTGCCTAACCTGCTTAAAGTTCGGAAAGAGAATGGACATTTTGAAAAAATCATTTAGCTTCTGGTTGATTCTTTAAATATCTTTTTGAAAAACAACCATAAAAACTGCCAGTGTGATGAGACATTTTAAATACACATGCACTGGTGATACCTTGTGCCATTAGTGATCTACCCTAGTTCAACATCCCCACCAACCACAGTTTTTAAAACTTGTTTTAAAGAAACACTACATAGACCAACACTAGACTAAATGACTTTTTAAAAAAATGAACATTTTTGCAGCAAGGACATTAAGGTCAGTTGGAAACAAACAGGACACTCATCCCAAGTGCACTGAACTGTGTGTTTTCAGACATGCTCACCATTAGCAGTCTACTACATACAAAACAAAGCTCAGGCTCTCCGTGTCACACCTGTCAGCTAATACAATGAGAATTCAAAGGAGAGAATAGACTCTCCAGCTCTGAAACAAAGACAACAGACATCAAAAGCAAACAGAAATTTAAAAACAGCTTATTCATAAACAGGACTGTATACCGTAGAAGTGCTTACATGTGACTTCAAAGAGATTAAACCCTTCATAGAGTGGATAGGCTGCACACTGCTGTTTACAGATACCCCTTTGATTGGACTCTTTGATGAAGTCCATCTTTTAGGATAAATAATTAGATATAACTGTGAGTATCTGCGGCACTATATCACAATATGTTTTAATGACAGTTTGATGTCAGCTCTTTTAGTCCAGTTCTAGAAGAGAGAGAAATACACAGCGAGACAAAGAGTGAAGAGGAAATAAAGGATCTTTGGGATTAAATCTGGTGTATGATTGGTTTTAAAGGGTAGTCATGGACGTAAGTTGATGGCCATCAGTCCAGGAGGAGAGGGGGCAGGTGGTCGTAGGAAAACAGACAAACATCCCAGTTCAGGTTTGTGTAAGGCTTCTGCTCAACCACAGGAGTTTAAGTTCAGAGTTCATCTGGACTGCATTCACCACAAATTAGTGTTGTAACAAATGACCTTGTCAGCGTTAATGCAAAACAACTATAACAATAAAAACGGTATCAGCATGGCAACAGTTGTGCTGTTCTGGACGCTTCAGCACAGCTCCAAACAATTAAAAAGACTGAGAAAAAGTAGAATAAAATAAACCCATACAATGTGGTTCCACCCCCACCACTCCCCTCCTGGCCCCCCTGACCTACAATCGTTGACCCCTGGTTGTTTGGGGCAGCTCAGACCCAGCCACTGGTCAGCTTATAGAACATCTCCTCATCTAGAGACTCGTTCTGGTCCTTGGCACGCGTGGACAGGAAGATGTAGCCACCGATGAACTCGTGGACCACCTTACAGTCCACCTCGGCACAGGTGAAAGACAGACTAGGCTCGTCTGCAAATTCCACCGTCACCTGAGCACACGGAGCAGAGCACATTACATCACATCAGTCATGCTTTGACAGTAACTGGCGAAATGTAATCAATGTTACGTAATTCAGACAATAAGGTTAGGTGCTGACGTCCAGTGTTTCCCTGAATTACTTTCGACAGTGCCCAGCGAACAGGTGCAGGACAAGATAGAGTCTATAAAAAGACACGTCTATTATAACTCTTTTATATTGCCAGTTATGCATAGAAAGAAGAAACATATACACTCAAACAACAAACTGAACAAACAGTTTCATTAACTTGAATGAATCCAATACTAAAAATGTGGCCGATTTCTGATTTCTGAGTATTTATAAACACAATGGACGGTTTCAAACAAAAGGATCAAAATCAATGTGGCAGAACCAGGGAAAGTCTTTCTTTTACTCCACTCATTCTTTTCCTTGTTAAAACCTGGCACATACATTATCCACAATGCCATTTAGCTACTGACAGTTAAGTTGGAGATTTGGGTGTGTTATGCTAGTAGTGGTGATATAATGGTGGGTTGCCTCAACTGAGATGTAAAGAGAAATACAGAGAGACTCTGCACCCCCACATTCTTTTTATTTTCAAACTTGTAGTCTTCAGCCACAGCTGACGCCGACTCAAGAGACATCACTTGAGGCAGTTTATCAGACTCATCAGAAGAGTTCCCCTTTAGTTGACTCTTCTTTTCAGCTCTAGAAAAAACACTAACTTCCAATACTCTGAGAAAGAATATGACGTAAAGAATTTTTTAAAAAGCGATGTTTAGGGGAAAGCTGATAAAGCAATTTGTAATTTTCTAAAAGCTCCCTACCATCTTGATCTCCCAGTTGACGTTCCACTGTTTCATGTTGCTAAAGCGCCAAGTCTTAATGGCATCTCCGGCGTTGGGATCCATCCGGATCAACCGGTTATAAGTGATGCCGATCAGCTCCTCCCGCTTTACACCCTGGAACCTGCAGAGAAGAGAGGAGAATCCATTGTGAAATGAAAGTGTGTAGAACAAAGGACCAAATGAGTCACTGTCAGCACATAAAACTGAGAGTTTGGGTGATGGAGATAAAAGCACAAAGACACATCAGCAGTTCATTGAACTTTAGTCCTCTGTGACAGAACTTACTTGGCAAGGAAATGAGTGATTCCAAACTCGGGCAGGGACTGCCACGCCTGGATGAAGCGCATCTTGGCCTCAATGAGACTCATCTGGGCCACATTCTGGTGGGCTTCAAGGATCCGGGCTGAAATCTGATAAATACACAATCGCAAACATTACACACATAACATTTCAGTACGCTCCCACCATTTGTGTCACCGAAAACACTAACACATTCTCAAAAGTGAACAAATGTATCCCATCACCACACTTAAACCACCCAATGCACCCAGATCCAAACACGCACCCAATGCATAAATAAGCTGTGGCTAACTCCATAAAGCCATCAGCACACACAGTGTCAGCCAATAACCATAGAGCTGTCACAGTAAAAGTCTACTCCACACAGCTAGAAAATAGACAGACAAACAAATAATAAACCTATGAGCACCCCGGGGGGCCAGACTACAGTTAATAAGCCAAGGGAAGCGTTTAGTCTGTGTGAGTGTGCATGCATGTGTCTATTCCCCCACTGTCTTTAAACCTTCTTAGGGCTGGAACGCAACATTTTATCAACTAATTCAACAGGAAGAGCAGTTTTAACAGAGACATCCAGCGTGAGTTAACTGTCTCTGAGGATTCTGGCATCTCTTTTAATGCAGACTACTTTCTAAAGCGCGTTAAAGAGTTATGAATGCGCGTTTCCTACCCTCTAGATCAGCACTGATTTCGGTTCATGTGAGTGCATTATGAAAATCGATGAAATGAGCGATTCATCTCAGTGAACACCATTTTGCTCCTTCCACATGTTGCACTCAGCGACTGATTAGCATTACAATCATGAGGTGGGACAAAAGAAGCAGAGCAAATATGGATGTGAGAAATGAATCAATGAAGTTGATCATTTTGTTGCTGTTTAGAAGCAACACTCATGAAAATATTTATGACTTGTCGCAGCTTCTTAGCACTAAGCATTTAAACGAATCAGCACAAAATGTTCAATAGTCCATGTTTAACTGTGCTACATTGAACTGAAATCAGTATCTGTCTACTAAAGGGTATGTTCATCAATCTAAAAACCTATGGTTTGGTTTGATAAATAGCAGTGATAAAATAGATGTCCAGATCCATATGTTTACAATAATAATAATAATAATAATAATAATAGTTCATTATTATTATTATTAAGTTTTACTGAATGTTTTGTACCGGTAAAGTAAACAAAAATACAAACACAGAGATATGCGTCATATGCTTGTCTTATGGCTCCCTGAAAACATAAGAGAGCATACAGAAAACATACAGAGACTATCAAGAAGGATACTAGGATCTATTCTACTGTGACTATCAGCGACTATGATGACTATGTCATACAGCTACTTAGAGTTAGGTTAAGAGTTCAGAGTTGCGACAGTCATGCACATATCTATGGTTTTTTAGGCACCCAGTGGACACACAACTCAACTTACCAAGTCCCTGATATAGCCTGGCTGAAGAGGGGAAGTGGGGATGGGAGGAGGACACAGAGGAATGAAGGAGATGCATACAAAGTGAGAGAAAGAAATATTGGATAAAGAGAACAAGCAAGTAAGATCAGTGTTGAGGGAGGAGTATAACAAGCAGGAGACCATGACTGTAATAAAAAGGGACAAAGTTGGCAGAGGGTGTCATGCAGTGTTTGGCCACAGGAGGGACAGTACAGCAGCAATCAGACAGTGTTTCATTTATACATTTCAGGTCTACAGACTTTCACAATGGGCCATTATAGGAATTGCACCGCTTCTCTGTAATTCCTCTTCCATCCACAAGATGGTGATACATACCAAGCAGCATACGCTGGAAATACCAAAATGTAGAAGTGCCATGTCTCCAAGCTGCAGGAGTTTATTATTGTGCCTTTATCATTTGTTTTCTCTTATGTAAATGTACAGATTTGGCCGGACACCACTCTGGTTCACATAATCTAAAAATTCCTGTGTGTGTGTGTATATCCGCCGGGAGCTGCAGCACGGAAGTCTCCTCAGACAAATCTTGCCACAGGAAGTCCAGTTTAAGGGAGATGGGGAGGGGTCACAGCTGACTGAGAGCTAACGGGCTTTTCCCAGACAGTTTTCCCGCGCAGCATTCCCAGGCATGGCTCATTTCCTGGTGCCCCACACCCACTACATGAGTACACAGGCACATACACATACTGTACATACATATGCCACTACTCTTTCATGTTGTGCCTGGGGACACCCTCTATCAGACTGGGTTTGAGTGTGAGATTGGACCTGAGCCAGAAAGAGCCACAGCCCCAGAGAGAGAGAGAGAGAGAGAGAGAGAGAGAGAGAGAGAGAGAGAGAGAGAGAGAGAGAGAGAGAGAGAGAGACAGAGAGCGAGAGACAGAGACAGAGAGTTATACTCTTAAAAAGTCCCAGTCCTGCCCCCTGTTGACAGTAGACTCTGGTCAAGGCAAAGCATTATAAAAAGGAGGGCTTTTTGTTTGTTTTTTTTGTCTTTCTACTGAGATAATGACACATGGTACTGGAGTCTTCTCCTCATATTTTAAAGAAAGTGGGTCAGGGGACAGTGCACTATGACATTTGAGCAGCTAATCATTGTAACCAAGATAAGACAACTATTATTTTGTCAGTATTAACAGCTCCCACGAGGTTTTGATGACACATACAGTAAGATTCATGAGAGGTGTAGTTCTTGAATGCTACCAAAATTATTATTGAGTCATCTTTATTAAAATGATGAGTTCCTAAAATACCAATATTATGCTTTTCAAGAAAATTAATGAAAGGAACTCTCTATGGGAAAATATAGTACAGAATACACAGAACCAAAGGCGAGTCAAACAAGCAGTAGACCAGGACCAGGTCTCTCCTTCATACCAACACACTTGCTGTTCTTGATGGGTCAAAGTGTATCATGTGATCTGGGTTTGTGTATGTCTTTGCAACTTTACTTGAACATGAATTGGTCACTATTAGCACTTGGGGAACAGGCCTTTTTTATTAGAGATGGTGATTCAATTATTGACCACAACTATATTTAAACGATTTCCTGACTAGTCCAAAAAGGGAGAAAGTGAGACATACAGAGAGAGAACTGACACTTATACTTCTGGAAATCTGGATCATTCTAGCTTTTAGCTGTGGTGTGTGTTCAGTGGGACCATGTGATATGCATGCTCCCTTCATGTATCAAAATGCAGCTTCAGGTATCAAAGAGAGTGAGAACATGAATTGCCCACAGCATACATATTCAATTAGCATTGTTCACACCGCACTAACATAGAACATCATTCTTCTTTCTCTTGTACCATCAGTCATGTTATTAAATTCTGTTCCAATAGTATTTCATTCAATTCTAACAGCTAAATATGAAACACACCCCTCTGGATCTTTGTTGTGCACCATCTCAATAATGTCCCCTTCTCCTCTGATCCTTCCTCTCTTTCTAGACATCCATTATATTTCAGGCTATTTCTCGGACAATTTCTGAGTCATCACTTACTGTACCAACATCCCTCAAAATCTCTCTAACCCCCTAGCAACATTTTACTTTTCTACTACAACTAAAACAAAACCAGACTGAGTGAGTAAACTATGGCGAAGGCAACCCCTCCCTTCCTCACCCATTTGCAGCTAACACAGACATGGCAGTGGTGTACTCAGCTGTTCCAGTGTGCACACACCAGCCTGTTGCTTACATGCAAATCCGCTGAGAGCATTGTAGAATTTTCCTAACGCTTACACGAAAGTTCATTATTCTTTTTCGGTGTTTGAATGTTACACCTGGACGTCAAGATGTTTGCCACAGTCGCTCAGTTGTGGCCACTCCCATAATGTTGTCTTAAGACAAAAAAAAAAACAAGAAAACAAAACTCAGATTTCTTGCCTCTGTTTCCACCTCACCTCCATGTCGTACCTACAGGTTGAGTGACTGAGATCTCTACCCTTCCAGCTCTTTTGTCTACAAGCACAAAGACCCAGAGCCAAGGTGAAGTATCTGTTACAGTCTGACATGAGCTCTACTCTACTGTAAGCAGCATGTTGAGTGGTTTGGACGTCTGCTGTCCTGGTTTCCCCTCGGACAGAGTGGGATAGGATGAAGAAACACGGGGAGGAGGAGGAAAAGTAAAAGAGGGGGGGAGTAGAGGGAGGCTACATTCCAGTGCAAGAAAACCCTGATGCCAGGAGGCGCCCATCTGGGAAGCATCAAATGCTGCTCCATCTAACTCCACAACCAACTCATCAAACAAGTAAACAACCTCCCACAAAACACACATTAGACCAGATAGTTACCATCTTCTTTCTGTCTCTTTCCAACTGCACACTTCACCTTCCACACTGCTGTAAATAGACCTTATAGTACATTAAGAGGTACCGTGTTAAAGCTCCATACAAAAACACAGCCTCTATGGCTTACCTGCTTGTTCTTGTACTTCTTCAGATAGCGTGGGGACACCAGGCATTCTGGGTTGATATCGGTGGTGATCGGCTCAATGAACTGAGGGTCTGGGTTCATGTGCTGCATCTTGAGGAAGGACAGAATGTTCTGGACCTCCAGGTTGTAAGAGCTGTCGGCCATGGTCTTCCCTTTGGAGGCCAAGCGACATGCAGCCATCCAGTGGGCGTACTGTTTCTCCTGAAAGAGAAAGTCAAACGCTGGTAATTAAACACCCGTCAGAGCAAAAGACATAGTAAGTGGTGCAATAACTTCTGTCTTACCGTGTCACACCGAAGCCAGATCTCATTCATGCCATCAGCCACAGGGATTAGCAACTTGATGTTGAATTTCTGGCCCGAGATGTTAACATCTGGAGTTACCTCACAACCTACACATGTGAAGCCACAGAGCAGAGCGGAAAAAGAGGTCAAAGGTCACACCCATTCTTTAGACACAGCACCATAGATAACAGTATTTCATTCTTGCATGGACATGAAATTACTTCTTTGTGTGTTTCTATATAAATGTATGTGCATCTGCACCTCTAAGATTCATTTGGTGAGCAGGTGTCCCATGTGCCTCCTCTTTACTCTTGTAACAGGAAATTGTGATATCCTTGAATGTGCACCAGTACTGCTTATAACCCTTCAGCGTCAGTTTCTTGGGTCTGGAAAATATGTAACAGACGGACAGAGACATGTCATACTTCAGATTGAAAAAACACCCATTTTCTTTATTACTGGTCAAGAGGAAGAGTGGGGGAAGGGAGATCATAAGCGAGTACAAAGGAGAGAGAAAGGGGGGGTGTACTCAAGTGCAAAATCAGCGAGGTGAATAGGAAAAGAGCCAGCATTGGACAAGAACATTAATGGAAAACCATTAAAGAGGAAATGCCTCTTGATATCATACCCCCCTGAAGGTTTATGCATTTTATGAGACAATCACCCCAGGGGCCACCTGCCTGTCAGCAAAGGCTTAAAGCCAAAAACGAATATGCTTCAAAATGTGCTTGATCCAACTGTAAGAAACTGCAAACTCAGCCTACAAATGTCCTTTGGCAAACAACCTGGCCTATTACACTGATGCAAAACAGGCAACCGCTTTCTTATTTAGCCAGAAAATGTTATTTGTTGGTTCGCTAATAGATTCAACATATTTTGGGAAAAATGTAATCTTTGCACACACTCATACACAGTTCTTACACACAGTGTTTCTGATAACATTGAAAGAGAATGTAGAATCAGGTAGTTCTGGATGTGGACTCACTTGAAGACTTTGACGTAGTCAGCTAGCTCAGGAATAGATGTGATGTCACCCTAGGAGGAAGGAAAAAACCCATTGTTAGTGTAAGCCCTGAAGACTTTAATATAAAAGAATATGAATGTGGTTAAACATAACAATGACTTCAGGATCAACTTTTTACATTGTCAATGTCATTCAATGTCAGTCGTGTATTATAAAGACAACACTTGTTCCGTAATATCACAAAGCGCAGTTTCCTCTGATAAGCTGTATAAACTTAACTTTCCAAGGCGGGGCTGCTGTAACAATAGAGATACTGTATATATTTTCAGTGTAACTATATAAAATGCAGCCTTTGTCAGGTTTGTGTAAGTGTAAAATATCTCACATCCCCAGCTCTTTGTTAGATGCAGCACTCATAAATAACAGTGTGAAAGTTTGCACTTCCAGTGAATTTCATTGTTATTTCCCCTCCCCTGGGTCCGTGTGCAGTGTCTATAGGTTCCCACTCCTGTTTAACACCACTGATGAATGGAGACTTCATCAGAATACAGTAGAGAAACAAAGGACCAAGCAACTGTGTAAACAAATTCACATACTGAATTAAAAAAGAAACACTTGGACAATCCCAGTGGATGTGATCCATATCTACAAGGTATTTCCTTCAGTGAATGTTATGATGTGGCAGTGTTGTCATACCAGTGTGTTGGACGTCTTTCCTCCCTCCAAAGTAATCTCCAAGTCTGACAGGGCTGCATCCACCTCATCCACCTCCTTCTCACTGTTGTTCATGTGGTTGTCTGAGGCCATGATTGACAGCTTGTTGATGTGGTACTGAGGAAAAGAAAAAGATGCACCAGTTAGGCCCATTTTTAATAATATTTAAGCACTTAATTTTCTATGTTGAATCAGGGATTCTACATTTGTTTTATTTTGAGGCATTTCATTATATTTTCCAGTGTGGTAAATGACAACAGGTCCGCAATTAGATGAAATATGTTGGACAAGTGACTGTATTATGGATCAAATGAATTGTCCTTCTAGACTTCCTAAACCTGCACACAAAGCAGTCCTATACAGGGAAATTCAAGATTGTTTTTAAGCATCTCCCTTTTTAGACACACATCTACAGTACATACATCAGAAGTTTTTGAGAACAAAGGCTAGCTGGAGCAAAGTCTGTGGTGCTGTGGAAAAGGTTTCAAAGCCTTATCCTCAGTACTGTTAAAACCTACAGTCTTCCAGTTACAGAATGTTTCTGTCCACCAGACTCATTTCGCCTTCCAGGTGAAAAACAAGTCTGTGCCTTAACAAAATAAAGATGGAGATAGACTTTGCTAGCAATTGTTAGCTACTCAACACCTTCGTCAACAGTTTTGCTGATTTCCTGTGTGCTACTGGCGCATAAACCCTATAACCTGGTATTATAAAAAGGGAACTGGTCTGTGATAATTACCATATAAATACTTGAAGACTTGTTGGTATTTATGTTGGCAAGTGGTGCCAATATCCACCACTGAGTTTACCAGTGATGGAACAATGTCTTTGAAAAGAAGGAGACTAGTTTCAGGATGAAGGGAGAATAAAGTGATTGGTGACGATGATTCACTGAGAGAAATAAGTGGAACGGTTTCGACAATGTGTTCTCAGCACGTCTCTGAACTGTAACGGCCTATAAAATTGTTTTTACTGGGAACATATGTGCAACTGGAACAATGGGATGTGGTTAGAGACTGTGCCTTCTTGCAACAATGGAGACACCAATTCATTAAGATTGTGCCATTACTGAAAATCTGACCATGGTTTCCTCTTAGTGTGAGTCACAGACACTAAATACAACCTGTTGACAAATGGTATTTATAATGTCAACCCATCACCAACCCCCCACCAATATATGAATGACCAGCTGTCGGGAGAGTGAGAGATACAGAGGCAGAGTTTGAGAGAGATATGTGAGGCTTTAGCCAGCTATGGTTACAGAATGTGGGACAAAGGGCTCTCGGTGACACTCCATTCCTCTGCCACTTCCACTCTGGCAGTCTTTTCAAATTCGCAACACTGATGAGCTTGTTTCCTGTTTGTGTATGTGTGTGTGTGTGTGTGTGTGTGTCTGTGTGAGTGGCTGAGCGCATATGTTTATTTGCTGAGATACAAAGTACAACCTGTGCCCCAAGTCTTGCCCCTGGGCAGCAGGACTATGAGGTCAATTGCTGTTCTCGACTCCCGATTACCTCATGTCTATGTACTGCCGAAGAGAAACTTCCAGGTGATAGCATACTAGCACAAGCCAGCAACATACTGGAAGTGGACAATCATTGCTCTTTATTTAGACCCTGTTTATCCACTCTCAGCAGTGAAACCTTAGCCAAAATTGCTGAGCTCATACTACCCAGCTGAAACATAGTAGTAGCTACCAAAGTGCTAACAGACAGGTAGCGACAGACTAGCTGCCAGTCTAAACACTCGACTCAGATAAGCATCTCTCTCAGGAAGAGTAACAAGAAACCATTTAAGCGTAATTATAACCGGCCTGATGAAACACACCTAACACCTCAGAGTGTAAAAGGGCTTTTATAGGAATGTGATCAGGTCTATGAGACAGTCTCTTGCTGGGGTGGGTGGTCCGGGCTGAAGCACTGGGTCCTGTGGCCCAAGATGCTCTATAATTACCCTGGGGGTGAAGACAGGGTGGCGTCCTCAGGTCTTGGCACCCACAGTTTATGAGGGTCAGAAATAGCAGGGCCACCACCCCCAAACTGAAGGGGGCAACCTGAAGGGGCAAAAGGGGCTCACATCTGTATATCACTTCCACTATTCCCCTTGAAATCAACTTTTGCCATTTTCTCTTTCTTCTGATCTTCATTTAAACTTATATCTGATGCCACCAGTGTCTTTAAAGTCCAGGCCAGAACAGCTCTGTAGGAGTGGCTGCAGGAAGGTGGCTCAAGGTTAGCAGAAATTGCATGAAGCTAACAGCCTTGACCTTATACATGAACATGTTTGAAATCCCTTTAGTGAGGAAATTTATAGTTGGAAGAATACAGTGCTGTTTTTTTTTTTTTTTTTTTTTTTTACAGGTAACAAATATCAACAAGAAAATTTATGAAAATTAGGGCTCATTTCCAGGCAATCAAAGTGACACTTCACTCTGTTTAACTAAGTTAAGTCGGTCCATTAATGTCTTTAACGTTAATTCTAATTAATTATTCATAACAGATTTTTTTGTTTAAAAGTCTAATGGCTCCCCTTTTTATATTGACTTTTATATTGACTATTAGTCAGAAATAAAGTGAATTGATAGATATTAAAGCATATTGAGAAACCCGGTGGGAATCTGTGTGATAATGCCCCCATTAACTCATTCTGCAACAATGCACAATAGCCAAGTTTTAGTATGCATGCTGCAGCAGAACTGGCAGCCATATGTCTCAGCTCTGGGCTGGAAGCCCATCCAATTTATTAGCTTGCGGTTAAGAAGGAAATGTGCCCATTGCCCAATGAAAAGAAAAATGTGTGTCCTCAAGTTGCAGACCCTGACAAAACAATGCTGAAACAGGAAAATTAAGATCAGGCACAAACACAAACACGCAGAGTTTTCTTACCTGCAGGGCAGCAAACATCATCATTTCCTCCTCCGTGCACTCAATTTCCTCCAACAGGATAGCCCACTTGGACTGTTCATAGAGCTGGTTCACTCGGATGGCATCATACTGTGGAGGCATACAAACAAACAGTAAAATGAACAAATGCTGTCTCACAGTCTGATACACACAGGACATCACTAAATCTGGTGAAGCAATAGTCACCAGAGTCATATGGTACAACATGGTCTCAACAATTGCCCCAAGTGACTGGAGGGTAATTGTTGTTGTACTGCTTTGTCTGCAGGACTTACCTTAGGGTTGAGATCAAAGAAACTGTGGTATTTAAACCTCAGCAGCAGCACCTCATTCTCCTTTACATCCTGCTCCATCAGAGACCTGGATGAGTCCAACCACCTGTACAGACAGTGAGTGCGGCTATTTAGAATATAATGTCTTTTAAAGCAATCTCTCTCCGAAAGAAATGCAGCCTCTGGCAACTGTTTTGATCAATAGCACAGCTCTAAAATATTCTACAATCCACCACAGTACTTCTGACTACAAGCAGTTTAACCAAACCACCAAACCACTAAGCAAAGTTCATCTCACCCTTGGTTGATTTTGGCTTTGTCCAGCAGGGACTGGGGCTTGTAGAGTTTCACCAGGATGTCTGGTGAGGAGATTGGCTGGCTGACAGCAAGGATGCTGGGATTGCCCTCAGACAAGGGGCTGTCCCCAAACCAGGCGGAGGTGGGTGACAGTGGGCTGCCATCCCTGGAGTCGTAGGTGGGGGTCATAGTCTTACTGTACAAGCCTGGACTGGAGTAGATGCTCCCTGAAAACACAAAGTCATCAGTTAGTACTTGTAGCGCAAAAGGTCCAGAGAGAAAGGATATGATATACACAATGTCTTTATCAAATAAAGTCTTTTCCTTTTTATATATGTTTTGCTTTAGAGAATTCCAATCTGTGCACATTCACAAATCGACCACTTAAAACAGCATCAAGGGAAAAAGGGTGAACATTTTTCAAAAAGCACACACACTTGCAGCCTAGCCAGGCCAGCTAGCGGTCAACAACACCATGTGACTACCAGCCCACACTTTGCAGATGAGTGGCTCCAACAATGTCCTCCTGCTGATGGCGGGATTGATGTGGATCAGCATGCAGATGATGCACTACATGATCAGGGTCACCCACTTACTCACAGTCAAAAAACCTGCAGGAATGCACTGCACACAGCAAACTACTGCACAACTTGCCACAGAGAGGAGAGAGGGAGCGCAGAGATGTGGGAGGATGCAAGAATTACAAAAACATGTAAGTTTGGAAATAAAAATTCAAAACATAACTTAATTCAAATCTGCCTAAAAATATTCTAAATGCTGATTTATCTGTATATTTACACTTCAGTTTTCCCATTAGTTTTTCAATTTTGGATTTTTTGGCTACAAACATAAGCAAGCCACCAAAGTGAAGCTGTTTGCATTTCCTGTTGGCTGGCCTTGCAGGGTATATTTGGCCCCACACCCCTCCATTCCCTCTCTCCCTCTGTAGGGCCTAGGTCAAGAAGCAACACTGGCTAAACCACTTAATCCCTTCTGAAACCAGGAAGTGGGCTTGGTTTGTGTTTGTGAGTGTGCACGTGTATGTTTGTGTTTGCGAACTGAGGTCATGAGAACAGGGTGAAGGGTATGGCCACCCGTGTCTTGTGGGGGAGGGTTTTATTCAGGGTTTCCTCCAAAGTTTTTCCCTAATGCTGAGTTCATCAGGTCAGGGAGAGTACTCCCATCTCCCCTAAGCTCTCTTCAGGAATCCCAAATATCCAGAGAAACCATGTATAGGTTGAACGCGGGCAGCCCATTAGAAACACAACTAGGCCTCCTCCATCCTGTTTACTGACTCTCCAATACAGGCGAAAAGGCACAAAGAATGTTAACATGACTTGACTCCCTAATGCTCCCACGCTGGGGATTTGTAGAAGGCTCAGATGGAAGGAGCTGGACCACCATGGGCTGTTAAGACTAGATTTAAACCATGAGAGGGTTGACAATTAATGAAAGTGTCTCTGGTGAATTAAATTTTTACACAGAGGTACTGTGTGGGCTATTGACTGTGGTGTGCATGTAGGATTATGGGCCAATAAGCAATATTATATTATATATCACTGTTCTGATTTCTGAACATCTATAAAATATATAGCAAAAAACAGATCAGCTATCCTGCCAAACAGTCAGCAGGCACGGTGAGCAGGCCTGGAGTAGCTGTAAGAAAAAGTGAGCTTCAAGCTAATTTCTAGCTTCTAGAGAGGCAAAGCCTTTACCATCATGTGACCATTCAAATCAGCTGACTTCCTCTAGAGGAGCAGTCACGTGGCTCGGCTGCTAGTCCCAAAGGTTACAGATGTAATGTGACCTCAACACTCCAGCTGTGGGGGCTGGAGGGTTGGGAGGAAGGGGGAGGCAAGGGTGAGGAAGCAGTGCTGAAGAGTAAAGGACAGAGGAAGAGGAAAGCTTACCTTTGACAGGTCCGATGTATATTACCTCAGAGGCTAGGATGAAAAGAGAAAGAGTAAGAGAAAGAAAAGACAGGAATGGAGTGGAGGGAAGAAGCGGAATGGGAAACAACATCAAGTGGACAGATTTAAGATACAGAGAACTCCAAAAGGACAGGAGGAAACAGAGGAGAAAAGACAAAAATAAAGAAATACAAGAATGAGGAGATCCGTGGCGTTTCCACGGGAACTGCCAACCGCTAGCCTCAGAGTGGATGACTCAGTTTACCCTCTTTGCAGAGGGAGATCACCCTGGCATGACTGTGAGGTTCTGTCGTTTCCATCCACCCATTCATAGCCATCCAACACAGCACAACTGATTGAAAACCCAGGCAAGGCGTTGGTCAGCGTGACCCTGCCCAGCATGTATAATGTGCAGCACAAATATAAAGTTCTCTCTCTCTCTGAGGGATGTCATTCTCCATGCTGACAGGGCAGATAATTAGATACAAAAGGCACGTCAAAATGTGGGCCCAGACCGACCCGGAGAACTGGTATCATGGGCAACATCATGGCTCTCAGTCTGAGTCACAACAACAACTGAGGATTAGTAACATGGTTTTTCTACCAAAATGACCAGGTCCAGGGGATGCGTGTGCAGACAGACATGGGACAGGGAGTTTCCTACATTTAAAGATGGAGATTGAGGTTTTGGAAAAGGATTGCCAGTCTTTAAGTGGAAATAATTGGTCATGTACATCTTATGACCTTAGTGTTCACCATCCACCCATGTCATTTGCCTCTGAGGTCAGTGTCACCTCACTGTACAGTACACATACTTTATACTGTATGCATCCAACTACTATATAATTACATTGAATTTAAGAAAGTTATTTGTTTTTCCAGAATTGTAAAGTTATTAAAAAGATGGTGAGGCAAAGGCAAAAGGCCTTTCCTTTAAATATGGTAGAAAATATAATTAAGGTTGCAACTAATGATTATTTTCAAATCAATCTATTTATTATTTTCTTGATTAATCATTTGGTAATATTCACATCTGAGAAGCTGAATCTCATGATTTTTTAAAACATTACCCTTTTGGAAAATTGTTGAAACAATTTCATCATCAAAGTTTTTGCAGATAAATTTTCTGTTGATCAACTGATTAATAAACTAATCACTACAGCTCTAGATATTACAAAAGTAATTTTGGAAGTATTTTTCTTTAATCAGAGTAGTTAAGATCGTGGTGAGCTGCAGTGAGCCCTATTCTCTTTGTCCCCAAGGTGGTGTGGACTATACAGGAGCATTTGGCTTCACAGGGGACGTCTGTGATTCTGATTGCATCGCTGCCTCTCTGAAGAGCCTTGTGATTCCTATCAGAAGAACTGGGCTGAGAGACCAGCCCTTCCCCACAAGGGACGAAATAACGCCTTACAACTTGGCCATGAAATACACCCTCTGACTGTAACATGTGATCTGGTAGGGAGGAGGACAGGAAGTCCGTGTGTGTGTGTGTGTGTGTGTGTGTGTGTGTGTGTGTGTGTGTGTGTGTGTGTGTACTCACTACTGGGACACACAGTGACAGTGGTGACAGTAAACAGATTCTGCACATTCCTGTTGAAACTCTGTTTTTCTGCACCACCTATTCATGTGACCACAGTCACCCAGTGGGAACAAAATGTATCTATACCAGAGGCATCAACGCCGCACACCCTTGAAATGTAATGATGCAACTTTGGGTGTGAGTATCATGTGCTGTGTCCATAAAAACTGAGCTATAATAAACAGTACTGCTTTATTTGCACCTGCATTTTCTACTACTCATATTTCTATACATGGGCATATACAGCAAACCAAATCTGCATGTCGGCAGAATTCGACTCCAGGAATTGTGATGGTTCATCAAGTTCACAATAATTGTTCAGGCCTCTTTCCACTCACGTGAGTGTTTATATGCATGTTGAGCTGAGTCTAAGGAGAAAGCAGACAGACTCAAGGCCAGAGCAGAAGAGACTCAAACCGCACAAAGACTCCCATTCACCCTGTCTCATAGTGTTAGCAGTTTTGCTTAATGCTAACTCTGTGACAGCGGCATACCCTGTTTTGTTCTGCTCCTCCCTGCTCACATGGTTGTAACTCTCCCATCACTGGCAGAAGGAGGGAGGAGGGCCAGTATATCTGCAGTCGTGTAGCCTGGTTTGGGTTTAAAATGGCAGCGTGACCAACTATGTGTGGAATCTGAACCATTCTTCGTCCTCCCTGCCAAGGAACTGAGACCAGGCCTGTAGATCTCAAGCAGGCCTCAAACTCACACATTCATATTTGGTCATTAGAAGCAGGGTACAGCAATCTGGAGTTATCTTAGTGGTTCCTGAACCGCAAGTGCAATCAGACACAAAAAAGAATGGAGGACGCTCCATAACAGCCAGTGAAACCTGTTTTTCAACCTGCTGCTTGAGGGAAAAGAGATGATAACTTTTCAAACTGAAATACAAAAAAATGAAACCCAAAGCACTGCAACTACTTCAAAGTCAACCTGAACCTAAACAACTGAATGCATCGACTCAGGTTTGTATAAACCCATTCATCTCATCGCATCAGTTAAAGACGTGAAGTGCAGAATTTGCATGTGTCTCATATTTTAGACTTTAGACTATTTCCTAAATTAGCTGTAAATTTTGTGCTTCCATTCTATTTTCTAACGTGAATAATTCTGCTGGAAAATACAAGTGTTTTGAAGCTGCACGTGCTTAATTTCCATATACGAGTTACTTTCCATCAGCTCACCTGATCCAGGAGTTAACAGTGGACCCTCGAGCTCAAGATCATCCTCCTCTGCCTCCTCCAACTTTTTCTTCTTCTTCTTGGGATCACGGGGCTTACGCAGTAGAGATAGCTCCTCTGGGTGGCGGATATCTGGAGGGAGAGAGGGAAAGAGAGTTCACTTGACATCATATAAACATAACCTTGACTACCAACAAACCCAAGGCAATCTGGAAACCAAGTTGGTCAGCTTTCGATGTCAAAAAATTACAAAAAACATTCTGTAATTTGCATTTTGTTCAACTACAGGCTTCAAATAAATCACATAACCTCTTGTAGAGGACACAAATGAATATCGGGATGCGAAGGCAACTTAAACTGAAAAAAGTTGAGACGCAAAAAGGGGGAAGGAGTAAGAGAAAGCAAAAGGACGGAGGAGATGGGGAAGAGCTGTAAACAGCTGTACACAAGATGAGTGGAAAATTGCAAATCCCCTTTCCAGGGACCCCAACAAATCTTGCTTTAACTGTATCCAATCCCCAAGTGAGACAGAGCTGTCACAACCTCTATCTCTCTCTTCCCCTCCTTCCGCTGACTATTCCTCTCACACGTATGAAACCAGAATGCAGTTGCTGTTGGTGAGCAGCAAACAGAAAAACTTAATCCCTGAAGATACTCAGACACTACAAATGAAATAAACAAGCACATCCTAACTCTGTGTGTGTGTGTGTGTGTGTGTGTGTGTGTGTGTGTGTGTGTATAAATGGAAGAGCTGTGTGCAAGATCCCAATCAGACAGTAAGACACCGCACTGAGTATAATGACTAAAACAGAGCAGCCTTCCCCCCCAGCTTCTCTCCCAACTATTCCGTTCTTCCCTTGGGCTTGGAGGCCAGGGAACCATCACTCAGCAGCAGCAATGATGTTTTAAGATGGGCTTGGGATGGTTCTGATCTAGTGGGTGAGACGGCCAGGATATGTCAGGACAAGAATAGATGGAGCTAGTCTAGAAGCAAGCACATCTGGATCCTCAGCTGGATTTGGTTTTGTCAAGGATTCCATATAAATTAAGGAGAGTTCATATTTGAGAGACTTATTTCATTATTTTCACTTTGTTTTGCGCAGAACTGTTATGAAAAATATTCATTTTCTCATATCTGTTGAAATAAGTCTCTCATAATTTTTAAAGATGAGGGATTGGAAAGGTGTTGCAGACTGATTGAGGAGGTTGCTGAGGGCGCAGGGGAAAGCGCGAGTATAAGGGGAGAGAGAACGTCTTGGCTTGGTGAGAAAGCTTGTTTGGTTTGTGTAACTAAAGCAAAAGCATTCCAGGAGTTTTAAGAACTACCAGATGGGAGCTCACCCTCTCTTTCTCTCTCGCTGCCTCCCCTCCTCCCTTATTCTCGCTCGACTGCAGCGGTGGAGCACAATCCCTGTGCCCTTATACAGCCATGTGAGTTGCAGGCGTGCTGCCGAGCTTTAACCCCACTGAGCTGTGCAAAAGGGCCAACACACACAGTAAAGTGTGTATTACACTGCGTACATACGTAGGACTCTGCCTCTTGGTGAGGCATTGCAGAGGCATGTGGCATTTTACTACGAAGTCATTTTAATTGTTCATCCATATGACCTCATTGTCATCACTGGAAACTTATCCATAGGGGAATTACTAGCCATCTACTGAACAATACCAATCTGATAAACAATAATAAATGTGGCACACAGATGAATATTATAACCCTCTATAGATCAAATGTGTGAATCAAAGGCAGAGATTTTGGTCACAAAATCTTTTCTAAACCATTACGTAATGTGGTAAAAATCTGTTTTCTACGACAGGTTTAGGGTTCATTATAAGAGGAGAAAATAAAAACACAAATTCCTGTAAAGGCGATATTTTAGACCCCTTTACTGAACTGCTATGCCTGCGTGGGAAATGGGTGGGTGAGGTAAATAAATTGACAGACATGCTTTTTTCATCACTCCTATGAAGGGAGTGGAGGTGTAGCAGATATGCTGATACACTATAAATACCATCAAAAACATAAAGATAAAGAGGACAAAAGCAGGCTAAGAGGAAAATACAAAAAATCGCTCCACTAGTATTTTTCAGACAGGCGAGCGTTACAGTCCATTTCTGCTGACATACTTAGATGAGTGTTGAATTGTATGTTTACAGTGATAATTTAAGAATCATGATCTGGTGGGAAAGATTGCTCCTACACTCACCGCATACTTGTGGCTACTGTCAGGATGAAGCGTGAGTGACGCTAAGAGTGCTTACAAAAGCTTGGTTGAGTTCCATGAGCAGAAATGACACCTTAGACAATAAGACCCCAATCTTCCATCCTGCAGACTTGTGGCAGTAACCAGGCCTGGAGCCAGAGGGGTTGACTGAGAGCCAGCTGGGCTTCCAAGACCTACTCCTTGGAACACATGATTCACTGCAGTGAGTAAGGCCAGCCGCAGAAGAATCACAAACACCGTCACAGTCTAATTTTACAGCACTAAAGTTTACAGTACAAACAGATGGAGACCCTACATGGACAAAAAAATTAAAGAAGACTGATTTCACCTTCTGTTTTCCCCTATTCTCCCATCACTGTTATGAAGGGGTACTCATGGATTGATCAATACTCTGGAACATTAAATAAAGCATTTGTTCCAGGGAAGACTAATTAAACCAGGGGTAAGAGATTACTCGCCAACAGTCGAAGTCCAAAGAAAAAGAGATTCCACATGCTGTGTATGTTTAAAGAATTTAGCAAATGATAAGTGCAGTGACGTTAGATTTTAGGTATCTGAAGTGACTCAAATGATGCTGTGACTCAATTCAATTGCATGAGAGACACAAATAGGTCATATTTTTTACTCTGACTTCAAAAAGGTGCTATACCTAAGTATTTTAGTTGACAACAATCAAAAATAAACTAAACTTTTCAACAGAATATGAAGAAAGAACAGTTTTGATGTTATGTCAAAGACGTCTAAGTGCTGTGTTGCAGAGATACAGGCTACTGAATTTATCTTCAAGGACAAACAAAACCTATCGATGTTAATGGCTTGGGAGTTGGCTAAGGGTGTTTTCTTAATCTATCAGACGGAAGGCTAAATAGGTGCTAAATGGCCACTCAAAAAGGATAATAATGCCATTTAATTTGGAGTTGGAGCTGAGGCCACACAGCACTCCTCCTGTGTTATGACAACGCAGGCCAGTCAAGCAGACCACCGGTGAATGGGCCATAAATCTGTTGGACCAAAACGATGAAGCAACAGCCCCTCACAAATTCAGAAAGGTGTCCGGAGGACAAAGCGCCCTGACCAAACACTTCACTGCAATATGCCTTCTCAACTGTCAAGTTCTGACTCATCCTCCTGTGCTCTCCGTGTCCCTCGACATTGACATCAATCCTCTCAGTCACTTTTCTTTCCTGCCCAGTCATCAAGGTCTACCTCCATTTATTTGACTCATTCTAATGTTTCAGAGAAGTGCTGACGAAAGTTACAGTATTGTTGCTGCCTCCAGACAATACTATTGTGTCTTCGTTTTCCCACATATGGTATTAAAGAAGTGCTTACTAAAAAAAAAAAAAAACACACACACACATATAAGTGGAGCAGCCTGATACTTGTTACCCTGACATGGTGGTTTGCTAAGAGCAGCAGCCTCATTTTGTACCGCCTCAGGCTCCCAGGTCCACAGTCATGTGCTAGTCAGTTGTGAAGAGTACATTTTGTGAGCTGGTTCACAGGAAGAGTAAACCAGCCTCCTCTTAAAGGGAGGAAGTGGCTGCCTGTGTTTAGTGTGTTGGAAGTGAGTCTAAGTTGTCTAGATGAGACAACCTCATGTCTGACTAAGACTCTTCACTGGTAAAATTACTCTTTACAAAAGCCAGAAGAACCTAGACTATAAATGGAGTTTTTCCGATTCTGAAACTAGTATAGGAAATGCCTCCAATACTGCCTAAAATACTGGATCAGGTATTAGTGGGTATGCAAGTTTATGCACCGATCTGGTACCACATAATGTACTGATAAACTTTATAGTTTCACACCCAGATAAAACAGCAGTCTTCCTGTAAATCAAATCTTCTTTGCAACTCTAAAACAGAAGCCTAAACAGGAAGTTGTTCTGAGACACTGGTGACTGCCATTATAGAGCAGCAAAGAAGAATTGATTTCTGGTAAACAGCGTGATGTTAGCCATTGGCCGAGGTCACTAATAGGCAGGCCGCGATGTCGGTCCAGACCCAGATTCTGTTCAATAACCGAAAATCATTAATGACTAAATGATCATAAAAAGAAAAATCAATACAATACTAATGAAAGTAATTGTTGGTTGAAACCCAACAGAATTTCTACAGTATACAAACTGGCACCACAACACAACAAACTCCATATCTGACATGATCTACAGACATTAAAAGGCAAACAAACGTGGGCTCAAAAATTTTATCCTGCAACTAAAAGTGGAAAATCCCTAATGCCTTGACTTCGCTATCAAGTAAGCAGTGTAGCACAGGATGTAAGAGCTGCCAAATGGAATCAGAGGTCAAAACAGGAGTGGAACTGAGTGATTTTCATCTATCACAGTACATCGACCTTTTGCTGAGTCCTCCTCGTTCCCAGCCAGCCCACATGGACTGTGCCTGTGTCAGGACACAGCTGCTATGGACATGGGAGAAGTACAGCGGTGATAATTGGTTTTATATTTTTTAACTTGGGAGTGTTATGTTGATTTTCTATGCTTTGCCCCTGTATGGGGCGCTCACTGTCAGAGTTTGAGTTGGGCTAAAGAGAATGAAAAGCAGACAAGATAGAAAGTGTGAGGTAAAAACATACTGTGTGTCATAAAATAACACTGTTGTAAGCATAATATCATTCAAAAATGTACAGCATAATAATGAAAACAAACTATGGAGTGGGTGGGGATAAAAACAGCCAAATACTACACTGGAGGACTGAATTCAGAACTTGTTTTGGATCAGGAAATAGCTTGCGTGACCAACTGACAAGATGTGCCAGAGCAAAAAACGACTCCAAGTAAATTAGTATGATATCAAGAACTGGAGCCAATGCTGAGCAGCTCATCATTGAAAAAATCTTAACTGTCTTTCCAGTATCTCTGCCCCTCCCATTCTGCTGTCTGGAGCAAAGGCCGGCCGGTTGGATAAGGCCTCGTCTCTTCCTGTCCCCTCTGATTCTCTGTGCTGTGCAGCTCACAGGCAGTCAGCAGAAAATGTGCACAGGAAACTGTAAAACTCAAAGTTGTCCAGATAACAAAAAATGAAATGCTTCCAGGTCAGACCAGCTGTTACTCAGCTCAGTCAGCTGTCACACCCTCAGTTACAGTTCAGAACTTCCCCACTGTCCATTAAGTTCTGCTTTTTACAAGCTATTCAAATGCAACAGTAGAAGCACATCATACAGAGTGGGCCTTTACAGCCACCGTACATCTTGCAACATCATGGCATCTACTATGTCAGCCAAAAGCAATTTGTCCTGATTTCTGCAAAGCTGAAATATATTTATTAGAGAAGCAGCAGACATATCCTGAACCAGGCCTGGCTGAGGGAAAGGCTACAGGCCCGTTTCTCCCCTGTCTCCTGCCACTGCTTTCAAAAACACCTCTTTGTATATTTACACTCAATAAAACATGCTCTTTGTTCTTGTTCATTCATTAAGATGCCTCAGCCTTTTAAAAAAATAAAATGCAAGATAAAATTAAAAACAAGGTTGAGTGCTACCTGTAGAAGCCAATAAAAACAGTAGTGATTCCAATGATCCTGTCTGCTGCACGCAGTCCAGTGACAAAGTCACAACAGGTGTGCAAAGACCCTGCCTGATGGAAGGATTTATATGGATGGTGGTTCTCCAAACATGCAAACCCCCCTGCAGACAGTGACTGTGAGTCAGGGGCAAGTGGTGAGATCTGAGCCTAGGAAAAGTGGCTGTTAGCAGGTCAGGGTCACCGGGGTCCAGTGTGTGACCTGTGACATGTCTCTGACAGGACAGTGTGGTGCCAATCATGGAAAATATCAATAGTGTGTGCGTGTGTGTGTGTGAGACCCTTGGGTATTACTTACACCCAGGGGGACAGTTAAATTGGGAAGTGTTATTAGCAGAAGAGATGGTAGGTAAGCCAGACAGTGAGCAAGAGTATGAGTTATTTACGTGTACATGAATCTGTACTTTGGTGTGTGCTTGTGTAACAAGCCTGAGACAGATTGATAATCTCTGTTTACTAAACATTACTGTAAGACCGATGGAGCCCATGTTCCAAGGACACGACTCCAGAGTTAACAGTGGACTACCAGTCAGGAGACGTGACTCTGGTACACAGAGCTCAGAGTGTGTTTAATAAACACGACAAATTGCCATGGATAAAAACAAAGTGAGAGGAAGGACATGATTAGCTCAGTTTGATGAAGAACATTTCCAGAACCTTTCCAAAAATATAATTTGGAAGTTTTTGGTTGAGCAGGGTGTGCTACTTCAGTAGGACTGGACTCACCGTTCTACACGCAAAAGGAGTTTTATTCCCGTAACTCATCGCCAATCAGTCACACCTCATCCCACATTTACTTCATGACTGTTTTCCACATCAACACTAAAAATATGAATGCTGCTCTGCCTGCTGTCCTATAAATGAGTCCTTTGCTCCACTTACTGAAAGTTTTGCAGATGTCGGAAACTGCCTTGAAGACGCGGTCCGAGAAGTTGACTTTGACCTTCATATGCTTCATGTTGGGCAGCTGGAGGCGCAGGAGCTTGTGCTGCGGCGTGAAGAGCAGCCTGGCGTCAGCTTGGATGCCATACTTGTCCAATGTCCAGTGGGTTTTCAACAGCCATGTCTTCTTCTTCTCCCACCACAAAGCATGGTCTGACCAGTCCTTTTTCACATCTAAGGAGGCGAAGAAAAGAGAAGAGTGGATGAGTTTTACAAAGAACTGCAGAGATGCAAATGAAAACACAGCAAAGCATTATGTAGTTTTATTTTTTACTAGCATTCTCTCTGCTATATTACATGACCATATTATGGCCATTTGCATCACTTGTCTCAACAAGGTGAAGATACTGTTGACAAAGGGAAAGTGTAACTACAGCACTCAGCCTGTATCGATCTCACTATTCCGGCCTAAGCTCGCCGCATTTGTCCCTCCAGGGCACGGGGGGGGGGTGACATTTAGGGTGAAGGGGGGAGTCCAGAAAAGGTTTGCACAGGGGCGGTGAAGTCAAAGTGAGAAGGAGGAGACAAGTGAGTGTGTGAAAGATATGGCTGTTTGTATGACACTGTGGGGATATCAGGTTCATACCTCCCTCTTTGTTCCAAAGTCTCACTGTGATCCCTCTAAAGCAGATACAAGTCACCCAAAACCCCACATAGCTCCCAGGCTTTCGCTCCGCAGGGGCTCAGCACAATGGGGATGGACCTGTGGTCTCATGGTGTGTGTGTCTGACTTCAAGGGTAAAGGTGAAAACCACAGGGATTTAAGGGAACTCAAAGCAGCTGTTTTGCAGATCACCTTGCTCTGGTTTCTACACCAACAGCATTGTCATTGGGCTGAAGTTGTGTATATGAGCTGTAAGTCACTTCAAAGCTAAAGGTAAAAGTGAAGCATGAGAATTCCTCTGTATCCATGTCATATTTATTTATCCCTCTAATGGCAAACATTCACAAAATAGCCAAGTATGTTAAGCTAGAGTAAGTCCACATGAATGGCAGGCCAGCTGGCTTGAGAACAGACTTCTTCGCTGTTTACATGCACCACATGCTGTGCGTATGTTGCGTTATGTTCAAGTGTAAAATATAATCGCCTTTTTAGCAGAGTATGATAGTTGACATGGAGTGAACAGGCCTATAGTTTTATATTTCCAGATGTCCCCCCTGAATAGTGATGTCATTACTCTAGCATTAGTCCAGGAAGGCACTTCCCAGAGCGGTGTCTCATTTCCTCCACCCACGTAGCCCTTCATCGCTTCTCCAGTCTATCCTCTGTCTCTGTCTCTCTCTCCCCTCTCACTGAGTCAGAGTCCAGACACAGACGTGGGTTTGCTCAGTCACCCTTTAATCAAAGCATTCGATCTTAACTGTCTCAACTCTTTACATAGCCGTGTCAGTGTTTTCATCAAAGGCCTGACTGAGGAGAAAATGGTGTTTTGTATTGTCATAGCCCACTGTTAAATTTTCCAAAAAGCTAAGAAACCAGTCAGCGAGACGACAAGTAGTTAGGTAGGTCCTATTTACATGTACTGACTCATATAGGTTCACATTTTTTACAAATCTGTCTTGAAAGGAGAGGTGTTGACCTGGGAACTAATCATATCGAGCTGTACCGTACTGTTCTGAGCTCCGGTCCGCCAGCTTTCTGGCCTGTGCCTTGGACCTTCCTTGTCCTCATTTGGTACTGGTTCCTGTTTCTGACCCGCAATCTACTTGTGGACGTTTCAGTCATTGTACGGACTGACATGCATATGTGCACTTTCTCTATGAGCTGGCAGGGTGTCCGGTTTTATTTGGTTCTACTCTGTTATGTGTATTTGTTTTCATGTGTGTATGTTGTAGAAAAAGTAAAATTTCATAAATGAAACTTATATATAAAAAGAAAATATCTGTGCTTTAGGTTCAAGAATTACTGGGCTTAGTGCAAATTATTGCTGCATCCCTGTGGTTAAAAAAAAAAAAAAAAAAAAGAACAGACAGGAGCTGCACTTTGTCCCCCATTAAGGAAACACATCTACTTTGTATTCAAGGCTGGTAGCACATTAGCTAAATGTGGCATCAAAATATTACATCTATTTATTACATGAAGGAGGACACAGCTACTAATGGACATACTGAAGCCGTAATGGACTACAATTCATTTCGTATAAATACTGAGCAAACAGCAGTTACAGCAGTGGTTTGGTTTTAACATCATAATCTAACACTGACTGATGCTCATTGCTTCTGCTCACTCCGACAGGAAGATGATCAGCCATGTTAAATAGAACAGGGGAATGATATTGAATGTTACCCCATGGTGATCTCCTCCATATGTCAATCAAACTGCTTGGTGCCATGGTAACCTAAACCTTGAGTGGCCTTATGTTTCCATGCGCTGCTATTGTTTTCCCTGACCTGAACTTTACATAGGGTAGGGGCATTCATATGCATTGTTGACACTCTCCTGCTGATCCCGTCTAAAAGCTGAATGAATGGGATTAGCGGGTGATTGGGTGAAACAACAGATTGGCTGCTTTGAACCAGGAACCAAGACTGCTATAAAGCACACTGGGATGAGGAAGAGATTACACTGGTGATTAAGATGGGGAGGAAAGTTTGAGAAGTAGAGTGCCTACCAGCATCTCAATGCGGATGCCACTGTGAAGGCCTAGGACTGTGTTGAACTGTGGAGATTGTTTGTCAAGCTGTTGGGTTTTATACTGTTTACTCCGACAGGCAAACACTTGAGTGAAAACATTCCAAGCTTTCTGTCTGAGACCCCTTGTGAGTTTCTTTATCAGCAGGGGGTCTAGCTGTCATCGCTCCATTCTCATGCCTCAGCTGTGCAGAACACAACTTCACTGCTACCATCAGAGAAACTGCTCCCTTATGTGTACTGCAGCTATTAAAGGCTGAAATAATGAGAGGGAGTAAGGAGAGGAAAATTGAAAAAATAGACCTGAATGTATTTTCATAACTCTGCTCACAGTTTTTCCTTTTACAAACTTGTAATTTCTGGTGTCTGGGAGCAATGCTAAACAGCTAGCATTAACATTTGGCACTCCTGTCTTCACCACAGACCACGTTCTATAGCTACGTCTTCATACTCAGCATGCATGACCACCATACAGTCTGTGGCAAGGCATGAATGCACGTCTTAGATGGTCTCAGTTACCCTCAACACACTCTCAATGGCCCCACTGCTCCACTGTTTCCTGTCACCGCCCACGACCAAAACCTTACTGGACATAGTCTTTCCTTCTGCTTGCTTGTGTCATTACACAGTGGTTCGATGTGTTGTGATTGGATGAAGGCAGCTCACGTAGGCGTCCATTGGGTTCGTTCAGCAACAAGGTGGTAACTCAATCCACAGAGACGGAGGGAGAGAGGCCCAATGGCATCTCCCAGCTAAAAATACAGCCTGCCAAGCCTGACGTAATGCAGCAGCATGAGAAGTGGGGGCCTAAGTAATTGGGTGCATTAAATGTGGACCCACAGCCCCTTAGTGGAGTGTGTGTGTGTGTGTGTGTGTGTGTGTGTGTGTGTGTGTGTGTGTGTGTGTGTGTATCTGCACAAGAAGAGTCTGAAAGACAAGGGGAGGGGAAATAGGATGGGAAAACCATGTTTTATGACCTCTGCAGGACATGAAAGATGATACAGAGATTGTGTATGTTGTGTGTATGTGTGGGGGTTTGGGGACATATCGGAGGGGAGGGTGTTCTTAACCATCCATTAACTACATTAGTTCTGTGTGTTTGTGCGTGTGTGTGCTTTAACAAGCTAAATTAATCCATAAATTGTGTCTAACTGAGTTGTTTTCATTCACCACCATCACCACCGCAGCTCTCGACCAAGACTGCTTCCTCTGCTTTGAGCACCAGATACCACAAACAGAAATACTGCTTTCAAAACATGTGGATTAATACTGCAATATTCTGAGAAGCAATTGCTGAGACAAAACATTAAATCTAGACTTTAAATGTTGTATTGTTGCAACAAAAATACATAGTTTGCAGGGCTCTGATTGGAATAATACAGGAAATTGAACTGTCCCTCCTTCCCACTCCTCCCCATCACTCCTCTTTACTCTCTCCATCCCTCCCCTTCTAGTCAGAGTATCTGTGGTGTTTACATTAGGAGACAGCTATGTTTATGGAGGCCTGACTGTGAGGGGGAGGGGACAGGATGGCAGAGGAGAGGATGAGAAAGAAGGAATAAGAGAAAGGGCATGAAAAGGAGAGAAGAGGAGGATGAGCAGAGGACTGGGAGTAGGGCACAGGAGGAAATTAAAACAAAAATCTACATGCAAAAAAAAAAATGTAAATGCATAGCATCTACAAATTTTATCTCCTCCATTAAAATGAAAGCTGTATTTACACAAATAGAATAAAGGCAGAGAGTAAAGATTTCAGTACCCTAGCTTGCATCCACTTGTTGCTAACAACACATTTGAACACACATATACACGCACACATATTTGATACCTGAACACACCCACCTATTTTTTGTTTTGTAAACATTACTTGGCTATTTTTCCATCAGAACTCTGTTGTTTATGTTGTTTCACATTTAATTTTGCTGGTCAATATTTTTCCATCTGTTGCAGAACAATATTATACTATATGTGATTTTGGAAATGCAGTGCTACAGTCTTTAGTCATATCATTAAAATCAAAACAGCTTCTCAGTAAAGTTTGAGTTTAATGACAAACCGAAAGACAGAAAGTGGAAAGATAAGTTCAAGTCACATGGATTTGTGTGTTGATTTGCTGATAATAAAAATGCTAATGATCAATGCTGACAAAAAAGGACATGCTGTGGTTATGTAATCAAAATGTAACACTGAGCTTTTGCAATAGAAGGAAAAAAAAAAAAACTTTGCTGTTCCATGTGCACTCAGTGCCTGATATTTTCTCCTTACACGGCTTTAACCAGCAAAGCTGTGACAGTCAGCTGATGCCTAAAGCAAAATTCAGGCTCATCTCCTGCATCAGTGATGGAGGTGATTTAAGAGAGGGCGCAGTTTTAGGTTAGGACTTTCTCATTGCGTTTGCACAGTGAGCCTTTTTTCTAATAAGGTTTTTCATAAGCTGTCAGAGCCAAGCTGTTGCCATCAGTGATAACAGTGGCCATGCAGTGCAAGGCTTTGTCATTTTCCACCATCAGCTGATAAAAACATTACAGCTGGGTGAGGCTGG